AAAATTTAAAAATAATAAAAAATTTTTGGGGTGTCGATTACCAAATTTAGAAATTGATGTCAATAGGGGGAAATATGTGTCAAATTTTTTTGACTATTTTTGCATTATTATTCAATAGTTTAAAAAGGGTTTTATGTGAACAAAAACATCGAAATTAAAAAAGGGCCCTATAATTCTTTAAATTTTTTGATTAATCATTTTTCTTCTATTATTCCCCTTGGTGCAGGGTTCTGCAAAGGGTGGAGAACTTGGGTTCAAACCCCATTCGAGACAATATTTTTTAAGTGTTTTTTAAAACCCAGATATGCAAGGATAAAGTGTGGCTGTCATAAAAATGAACATAAATGATTTTTGATGCAACTCTGGTCATGCAAACTTCCGTATGTATCAAACTGTTACAGTATAAAATCTAAACGCAGTCGCTGCATCTCGGTGCCCTGCAAGATGAATTATAGTATATAAAAATAAACTTATACAGGAAAATAGATACAGATATACAGTACGATTTAGTTGCAAAGAAAATACCACAGAGCTTGCAGCCCTTTGATTATGAATTGTAATTACTTAAATAGTTTAAGATATTTTTGTGACTGCCTGTACGGACTACTACTTAAGGCCGGATCTACACCTAGTCAAGTTTCTTTAAATGTCACATTTAGATAAGCTTAGTAAATGACCATTTTCAACATATAATCAGGCACAATTTTTACTGAAATGTCTTATTAAGATTTCCAAGAATTTATACCTTTGTCTATGCTAAGACTATTAGATTTCTATAAAATGTATAAATAGAAATAAACGGGAAAATGATGCAATTAGCTAAAAACAGTGGAGTTAATGAAAGGTGAACATTCTTTGAAATAAATGGAAAATGTGAGAAAAAATATATTTTGAGCTTATTAATTGATACAAATTCTTTATTTGATGAAAGTTCTTCACTCATTTAAAATCCCTCTTGATTCTACTATAATTCAGGACACATGTTTTGCCTCTATGCAATACCTTGATTTTCGTTTACCATTGGCTTTGACTACAATATATTATTTGGAGTATCATGAGATCATTTCATTGATTGAATTTTTATGACCCCAAAGTGCGGTCGCTTGTCTGATGTTAAAAAATGCATATGTACCTGTTTAACGCACTTTGGGGTCAAAATTGGACCCCAAAGTGCGTTACGAGAGAGGACCCCAAAGTGCGTAACGGACTCTCGTAACGCACTTTGGGGTCGGACCCCAAAGTTCGTTTGACCCCAAAGTGTGGTGTTAAAAACGGGAATGGGGCGAATTTTGAGGGAATGAGACTTTGCGGGGTGGAATATAAGGCGCCACACGCAACTTTATGTCTAACTAATTTATACAAATCATAAACGAAAATTGTTTTGAAAAAAAGATGAAAAGAGATGAATTTTTATACCATTTTTTAATTAATAAGAAAAAAAAACCTTTAATGAAGTACATGTCGACAAATATAGATGGAATGATAGGTATATGGCGGATTTCTTACAATTATTTACCGCGGAGTATAATTCCATACGAGAGAATTTACTTAATGAAATAGATCTAAGTGTTAACAATGCAGTTAATCATATCATTAATATTTATAAAAAATCATCAGCAAATATGCACGATAGATATTTAGCGCGAAATAGTGTGAATAATAAACAACCCTGGTGGGACCGAGAATGTGAAACAACTAAGCAGCTTTAATACGCAGCTCTACGACGTTTTCGCTGGACTAATAACACATTAGACTTACAACAATTTGTAGCGCTCCGAAAACATTTAAAAAAAACGTGCTATATATAAAAGTATCTTTACCAAAAGTCTAAGCGCGATCAACTAATTACGTTACGGTCAAATCCCAAAGCCTTTTGGAAACTGTTAAAATCTAGAAATGGTAATATAAATGAACAATCTTCATTGATAGATACGGGAGCTTGGTTTGATTATTTTCATGAGTTATTATTTGAAAGTAACCAACCTAATATATATGAAAGTAATTGGGACTTTAGAGTTAATACTGATGAGGAAAATCAGTATTTAAATTCTGAAATTTCTTCCGATGAAGTCATCAAAAGTATAAACAAATTGAAATGTGGACAATGTGATGGCATCGGAGCAGAATTCTATAAAAATACTTCGTCATTAATCGCACCTGTCCTTTGTAAATTGTTTAATAAGATATTTAGTACTGGGGTTTTCACAGACATTTGGAGGGATAGTATTTTAGTACCCGTGTACAAGTCTGGGCCTCAGGATGACCCTTCTAATTATAGAGGAATTTCCTTTATCAATGTTATGTATAAACTATTTTCTAATATTATATATGATAGGTTATATAATTGGGCTGAGAAATTTGATAAAATAGATGAATCCCAAGCCGGATTTCGAGCCGGTTATTATACAATTGATAATATTTATATATACAGAAATATATAAGTAAACCGGGCGGACGATTTTATGTTCTTTATGTAGATTTTAAAAAAGCATTTGATGGACTTAAACATTTTAATTTATTCAATACTAATGTTCTTTTATCAATGTACTCAAAACTGCGTGGATGTGTACAAGTTAGTACTACCAAAACTACAGAATATTTTAAATGTAACATAGGTACAAGACAAGGGGACGTAACAAGTACGTTATAAATGAGTTATCTCCCTTTCTGCGTAATAAGGGACATCGCGGTACATTCATTACGGATATGCATTCTTTTCGCTGATGATGTTGCAAATTGCGCCGATACTGCGATCGAACTTCAGTCTCAATTAAATTCAATTTCAGATTTTTGTTATAATACCGGTATGTCTATAAATGAGATTAAAACTGAAATTATTGTATTTAGAAATGGTGGACCGCTCAGATCATATGAAAAATGGTTATACAACGGCAGTTCTGTAAAATTAATGTCACCTCAAAGTACAAATATATGGGTCTTTTATTTACACCTAAATTATCTTGGACAAAAGCAAAAACTAAACTTGGTGCACAAGCTAGGATATTAAATCATATCAAAGAAATTTTGGAAAGTTTTTACACTCTGATTATTTTTAATTATTTGACTCTTTGGTAAAACCTATATTTACCTATGGTGCCGAAATTTATGGAAGTGAACTCTCCGAAGTTCTTGAACAAGTTCAAATACAATATTGTAAAGATTTTCTAGGTGTAAATTATTCTGTTAATGACAATGTTGCACTGGGAGAATTTGACGAAGGATGCCTTTATGTATTTATCATCATGTAAAAATTATCAAATATTGGTGTAAACTTCTTTGTATGCCAGAACATAGATATCCTAGAAATTGTTATTTGATGTAAACTAGACACGATAATGTTGGAAAGAAAAATTGGGCTACTTAAGTAAAAAAACTTATTGTATACTTATGGGTTTGGCTTTGTATGGCTAAGTCAAGAAATTGGGGATATCAATATATTTATTTGTCAATTTAAACAAAGAATTATTGATTGTAAAACACAAAATTGGATGGAAGAAATTCACAATTCACCCCGAGGTGATTTTTCAAATCTATGTTAAATCCTGAAAAGTATTTATTTGTTGATATGCCATTTTATGTAAAAAGATCATTATCGAGATTTAGATGTTCTAGTCATAAATTATATATAGAAACTGGACGACATTTGGGTATACCAAGATATGAGCGATTTTGCCAACACTGTTTGCAAAATTATCACAATTCGTTCATCGGAGATGAATTTCATGCATTTTTTATTTGTAATAGATTTTCCCAACAAAGACAACGTTACATATCTCCATGGTACAGTCATGATTATACATTCCATAATTTTTGTAATTTGATTAAAACTAAAAATGAAGAAAACATAAAGAATATTGCTTATTTTGTTCATGAAATTATGAAAATTGTTGATAATTAATATCAATAAGAAAGCATGTCATATATAACAAAGTATATTGTAGATACAGCTAAATATGAATTTCTGTTTTGATTATATTGTGTGTTTTGGGCCGGAGGCCTTTATTTACAAAATAAAATGTTGTTGTTGTTGTTGTAATGTATTTTTATAACATTGCTGTTGATTTTTAATTCGTTGTACGTACAATATGGTTCCATAACGGATCCAGTAAATGACTGTCAGAACAGCACCCGATTCTGTTTTGTTAGCTGCTACTAGCACATTTTTAATATGGAATTAGGCAATGTCTATGAACGGGGAAGTCGTTAAAAATTCCTTTCATTCTTTCCGTTTTAAAGGTGTCATTCGGTATTACATGCACCGCTTCCGTTTTCATTCGGAACACTCGACGATTATCATTTATCCGAAAAGTTGAGATTTGTTCCGTTATCGGAATACCCCGCCTATCATCAATGAGATACATTGTAAATGGCGGCGCCCGACTAGAACTGACATTGAAAATTTCATTGATAGGTATAGAATTCTCTATATTTTTAATTGTTTTAATTTGATTTTCTTTTAAATGTACACGTGTAGTCTATAGCCGGGCAAGTCAAAGACTTATTAGGCTGTTACTAGCACTAACAAAAGACGCCTTTTCATACTACAGTATGTTTCTGTTAGTGCTACTTGACTCTTTTTCATTGGCTGCAACGCTTAAATCTTTTGTTAGCGCTAGTAGCACTAACAGAAATGTGTGGTTTGGTCAGTATAGCGACCCAAGTGCTTTCCGCAATTAAATATGAATTTATAAAATGATAATTGTGTTTGGTTGTTTCTTCTTAGTAAGGGACGGTATAAGGTTTAAGGGATTACAATTACATGTATAGTAAAATAATATTTTGTATTGAAGTTAAAATACTATTTTGTTTACAGTTTGCTATTTTAATGAGAATTTTTTTTCATATTTATCGCTACTTTATTCAAGTAACAAGAATTTAACATTTTCTAAATTAATTATTTAAACATCATAAAATACATGTGAAGTAAAAATTTATTTGTTTCTGAGGCATATAATATGCCTTTAATATGATTCACATTTTAAATACGTTTTATATTTCAGATTGGTTGTTAGTGTTTCGTGGAACTCCGGGTATCGGTGGAAATATATATTCAGCATGGGTTGACGGAATTGACGTCACCGTAGATGACGTCACATGCATGACAACTGATGTTACTTCGTGCGATAAGAATTATCGTAATCCAGACTTCAATTGGAATGAAACAGGTACAATTGAAATTTTATGTCCTATACTTGAGAATTTAAATTTTGAAAACATATGATTGAATCATCTAAACAGTTAATAAAATTGAACAATATTAAAAACTAGTCACTGGTACACAAAATGATCTACTTCTATTCCTTCTATTTAGTGACGTGTTAATACGCTACAATAGCATTTTAAACAAATGCAATCTTTTTCTATTTATTTCCTATTTTATTCTATTTTTAATCTTATATTGTATTTTTCTTACCAGGTCAAGTTTGCTTTCTACAAGGGCAACGAAGAAGCTGCCTACGTAACATTTGACGCGACCGGAAGTGACATTACTAGCTGGTTCTCTGACTCAAATATTGTGCAGTCATCTTGGACCACACTTGCCACAGAAAGTTTTAATATCTTCTCCATCCAAGGGTTTGTAGGCAAAATCTATAAAATAATTATGCTGCAAAGCTTCTTTAAAAAATATACAATTTCAGATAAATCAAGCATGATATGCAGAAAGACATAAGAGATGATTTTAAAAGAAAACTTGTACATTTGAAAACTTATACTTTAAATTCTGATTGACTCTAACGTTAAACATTTGAACTCTAACATTAAACATTTGAACTCAAACATTAAACATTTGAATTCTGACATTAAACATTTGAACTCTGACATTAAACATGTGAACCTACATTAACATTTTAACTTTTACATTAAACATGTGAGCTATTACATTTATCATTTGAACTCTTACATTTGACGTGCGAATTCTTACATGATTAGACATTTGAATTCATACATTACAGTTTTGGTTCAAGTAGAAAATTCCTGATCAATAGTAAATTTGGCGGATGCAATGGCGATTACGGCTACTCGGTTATTGTTATGTATAATGAAATTGGTTGTTTGTGGGACAAGCATTCGTCTTACCCACAATTCCTGTTTTCTACTACCACAACGTTCGGACATTATAATTCGATGGCAGGTAATTAATATAAAACTATGGTGGCTGATTTGTTACTTTCCGCATCGCGTTGTCGCTGGTGACAACACGACAAAGCGCCAAACAGCGCGTTAATTTGTGTGTTAATTTGGTTGTTTCGTTTAACGGCACACTAACACAATATAAGTTATATGACGCCAATACCGCAAAGCTGCTGGAACTAAGGAATGCATTTACCAGTAATGCGAACTAGTAAATGTAGATGAAGTCAGAAGATACAACTTATGCAATGCTGCGAAAATTTGAACATAAACATTTTTTTTTTAAATAAATAAACATACTTTACTACCATCTGTGTTGATGTTATGTAAACCATTCCAACTAAATACAAAATCCTGAAATTTTGAAATCAATGCTTAATACGTTAATTTAAACAGGAAACGAATTTTATTTGAAACAGCAAAAATGTAACAATCTATGTTTTCCCATTGCATGTTCAGAAATCTGATCAGGATCCATGCTGTTCGCTATCAGTTTCACTACTTGTTATAAGGTTTGTAAGCGAACGGCATGGATCCTAATCAGACTGCGCGGATGCGCATGCTTGTCTGGATCCATGCTGGTCGCAAACCCATTATGTTTTATCGTCATTATGTTTAGGTTTTATCGTCACGCGGGTCATATATCGTCTGTGTACTTAATTTGTGCTATGAAGTCTGAAATAACATCCTAGAGTATCGCCATTTATATATTTTATTTTACAGGAATGGACAAAGCTGATGTTATGGCCATATTCATAAAGTAACATCATGCCGAGAAACGCCGTATATATATATATATCTACTCTTAGTGACTGACTGTACTAACATGAACTCAACAATATCCTGGAGGAAAACAAACTATAAATCTTTTGACATATCTGTGTACTAAAACATAAAAAGTGTTCCACTTATAATGATTAATGATTATCAGAAGAATTGTTACAATTTAATTACATTCAAATAATGTGGATGCACTACACAGAAAATTTCAGCGAGATAGAATCCTTCTCTCAGAATGATCTTTTTGCCTGGTTCATCAACGCTTCTTCCATTTCTTTAACATGTATTTACAAAAACATCAATAACAACAACATCTATAATAACAACTAGCTTTTAAGCAAATAAACATTGTGATTAATTTATGTTCATTCAAAGATTTACTTCGTTCACAGTATATTAATGAGTTAAAGGCACATTATATCTCAAAAATGCAAAAAAAACTTATTTCTCAAAAACTTTATTTTTGGCGTCCTGTTTACAGTTTCCAAAACAGATACTCATTGGTCAAAAATCTTATCCATCTTTCGGTTCTTCTGCGTTAAGGCCATTAGAACAGACATAGTGACTCAGTATTTTGTATGGAAGTCAAAATACCATTTTGTTAACATACTGTACTTTCCTGACAAATTATTTTTTTAATATCAATCAGTGAATATAATGTTAAAAAACATATATAACCCCTTTCTACAGAATGAAAAAAATATTCATTTCTGAGAATTAATGTGCCTTTACGAGGATATATTAAAATATGCAACGAGGTCATTTTTTAGAAGTGCTTCACAAACAGTTTTTTTCGCGTTTGATATTTCTTCCAGCAAGGTGTTTTTGATCCTCGGAAACATGAAAATGTCACATGCGAATAAGGAGGACGAGGAAGCACGACAACCTTTTCGTTTTCCAGATATTATCGTACAATGACCGCTATGTGTGACGAAGCATTGTCATGGAACAACCTGACACCACGGAGACTAGTTGCTGGTCGACAGTTTTTTTTATTATTTCTTTCATTTATGAAAAATTGTATGTTTAATGAACTTTCATGTAAAACGTGGCATGTACAAATTTACCTCATTTGGTACGGGAATCCTTAATTGGTAAAGAACATTACATACATGTATGACCTTTTTGACGCTCATGGTGCGTTTTGCTATGCAAGGTCTATGACTTCCTTTAGCTTGCCATATTTTGTTATGTCTCTTTCGCTTGGGCTCAAAAGTGAACACACGGCTCATTGCAAGTGATGATATTTGCGAAAGATCGATTGTTGTATTTAGGGAACAGTTTCAACAATTGTTTGGAGATTCTTACCATCTTCTTTTGTAAGGAGATGGTGTTTCCATCTTGCACTTATCTTTCTCATTTTTAAATCACGTCCGAGAATTGTATGAGCGGCTCCTCCAGGAATGCCAACGCATTTAGCTATATACCTAGTTGTAATTTTTGCATCAGTTGCAATCAAATCCATCATGTTTGGCACAGTTGCAGTTTTCGGACGGCTTGCATGAGGTGCATCTTTTACTGAATACACACCACTTTTAAATTTCTTACACCACCCGACCGTGTGACAGATGAAAAAGAAAGTTCATTGTTCCCATAGACACGACATATTTCAGTAAATATGTCTTTCGTCTGTATACCAAAAATACAGTGGTTCTTGATATTGTAATGCCCTAGTAATTTTACTTTTTGTGATTTCAATGGATTTTTTGTTTATTTTACTTTCACTTTCATTTTGAGAAGCTTCTACTGGCGACAACACAGTAAATCCTGTGGTGTCCTAATGAAACATACTGGACATCAACGTAATTCTACGTATTGTGCCAGCAATTTAATCCTTCCTGATTCTGGAAGATTTTCCCTAAATGTTATCCATGGTAGAATCTTGTGTTTATAATCTGTTTTCGTAACTTCTTTCAAAATAGTCTATTCCTTTATTTCACACTCAAGATGTTTGATTGTATATGATGCAGCCTAATTAAATATGTAAATCTGCGTTATAAATCCATCTGAATTAAATTTTTAACACTGTATATTTATGATAATTTGAAATGGTCTTTTCCATGTCGGCCATGTTGGAGTATGACGTCTTCTGTTATTGTTTAGTGAATGCAATGGATATAATAGATCTTATAATTTGTTTACTTATATTGTTACTTAGAAAGTGTAATATTTAAATGTGCTTATTCTTATTGTAAGTTTTGCCGTATGTACTTAGTTTATAAGGTGCCTTTTTTGGCGCAGAACATATCCCACAAAATTTATTATGGAGCCCACAGTAAAAAACTGTTGGACGTCTTCCCACACAAAAAAAAAACTGTGGAGTCCACAAAATACTTTGTGGAGCGTTCTTTCCCACAAAGTTGTGGAATGTGTAAAGACTGTGGCATATAAATAGCCAGCTTTCCTGCATTCGGTAGCTGCAGCACCAAAATTTCACTTTGTGCACCGTTTTGGCTATTTCTTCAAAATTCTCAATACTTTGGCATTTATTCGAAATTATTCTGGGCAACAACGTTTTTATTAATTATGCCCCCACTTCGAAGAAGAGGGGGTATATTGCTTTGCACTTGTCGGTCCGTTTCGTCCGTCGTTCCGTAGACCAAATGGTTTCCGAGTGATAACTAAAGAACCCTTAGGCCTAGGAATTTCAAACTTGGTATGGTGATTGGTCATGACCAGTAGATGACCCCTATTTTTGGGGGGGTCAAAGGTCAAGGTCACATTGACCTTGTATGTTAAAACGGTTTCCGATCAATAACTAAAGAACGCTTAGGTCTAGGATCTTCAAACTTGGTATGATGATTGGTCATGACCAGCAGATGATCCCTATTGAATATGGAGTTAAGGGGTCAAAGGTCAAGGTCACATTGACCTTGTAGGTAAAAACGGTTTCCGATCAATAACCAGAAAACCCTTAGGCCTAGAGACTTCAAACTTAGTAAGATGATTGGTCATGACCAGCAGATGACCCTATTGATATTGGGTCAAGGGGTCAAAGGTCAAGGTCGAATTGACCTTGTAGGTAAAAACGGTTTCTGATCAATAACTAAAGAACGCTTATGCCTAGGAATTTCAAACTTTGTATGATGATTGGTCATGACCAGCAGATGACCCCTATTGATTTTTGGGTCAAAGGTCAAGGTCACATTGACTTTGTAGGTAAAAACGGTTTCCGATCAATAACTAAAGAACCCTTAGGCCTAGGAACTTCAAACTTGATATGATGATTGGTCATGACCAGTAGATGACCCCTTTTGATTTTGGGGTCAAGGGGTCAATGTCATAGTGACCTTGTACTTACTGACTGTTCTGACCAATAACTCAACAACTCAAGTTGTTTTGGTTGATATTTTTATGTGCTTTTGGTATACACATTTGAAGGTCTTATGTAAAATAACAACTTGGCTGTCATTAATGAGGCCAGTATGTGATTCATAAAATTTATGTATATATTATCTGGTAAGATTTTTAATAACATTAATTGCTGCACACAACCTATGGGGTCACAATAATTATTACCTTGTGACTAGTCATGACCAGTAGATACTAGATAACCCTTATTAATTGCTTGTTCACTGGGTCAGAAGTCATGCATAATAACCTGATCACATGACAAATTGGCTGCCGATAGGGGGCATACATGTTTTACAAACATATCTTGTTTATCTTTGAGGTTTTGTAGCAGGTTTACTAACCTTGCAAACCCGGGTTAATTATAAACTTTAAGGTTTTAATTTAAACAAAGATTATTTACAATTTTAGACTATTTTTATTAAATTACATTTTTAAATATAGTGATTTTAGTTTATTACATTTTAAAATTTACTACAATTCATAAGTTAGTCATGATTGACAGAGTTTAATATGAATGCAAAGTTAAGTTATTTATTTTTTTTATTTAATTATATAGAAAACACTCCTGAGAAAATATAAGAAAAATAGATTACTTATTTAAAATGAAACCAAAAAAAACAACATTGGTAAAAACTGTGGCTTATTTTGTTAACCAGGTAAAAGCTACCTTTGCGTCATTGAGGCAAAAGCAATTGAGAAGGTTAAAAAAAATTAAATAGTTTGACTAAAAGTGAACTTACAAAAAATTTAATGCTAGAAGATAAAAGAAATAGGGGTAGTTTTAAATTAGACAATTCCTAAAGAAACAATATTAATTGATAAGAAAAACCATAAAAGCGTAACTTTAAATTGTTAATCTTGAAATGACCAAAAATTTAAGAGGACCAATTTTACACTTAAAAAAGTAATTGATTTGAGTGAATTTAAAATGCTTTAACGTAAACAGAAAAAAAAATAGAGAAAAAGTACTTTAATGAGTGCAAGATAAATAAAATTGTTTTAGAAATAATTAAAATTTGCCACAGTTTAACGATTTTATTAAAGAATCTGTCATTTATTTTGTGAAGTTCAAGTTTTATTTAGTTTAGAAACTTTAGCGAGGGAACTTGAGATGTAACTTAAAGGGACTCCACTGAGGTTTAAAAGCCTAAAAACATAACATCTGAATTGCTTACATAAATGAGCTGGAGCTCTTTAAACCGAAATATATGCATAGATAGCTAAGAAATGTGCTTTGAAATAAATTGAAAATCGTATTTTTAAGCTTTTCTTAGCCTGATTTGATTGAAAAGTGTTTAAACGCTTTTCATTTTTGGTCATTTTTTTACAATTTGAATAATAATTCTGGAAAAACAAAGTACCCGAATGATTTGAAATTTTGCACAAAGATCAGTGGTCTAAACCGACATCAAATGGTACATTTATCTGGAAAAATATTTTCAGTCCCATCATGTCAAAAAAACTCAGTGGAGACCCTTTAATATTTTTATGTAGATCTAACACAACGATTTTTGTGACATAATAACTTGCACTTGACTTATATATTTGCTTGCTTAAGCTGCTTAATAAAACTTAGAAACCTTAAAACGTATTTGTAATATTTCTCTCCTTAATTTTATTTTTCAAACTTAATGAATGCTCTGCGGACTTTAAATTAGCAGACGCGTAATGTCATCACGGCGGGAAGTCAAACGATTGATCCTGCCTACATGTATAAAGATCCTGCCTACATGTATAAAGATCCTGCCAACATGTATAAAGATCCTGCCTACATGTATAAAGATCCTGCCTACTTGTATAAAGATCCTGCCAACATGTATAAAGATCCTGCCTACATGTATAAAGATCCTGCCTACATGTATAAAGATCCTGCCAACATGTATAAAGATCCTGCCAACATGTATAAAGATCCTGCCTACATGTATAAAGATCCTGCCTACATGTATAAAGATCCTGCCTACATGTATAAAGATCCTGCCTACATGTATAAAGATCCTGCCTACATGTATACAGATCCTGCCTACATGTATACAAGAAAAATATAACATACATTCGTATGTAATATAGGTACGATTGCATACTACTTTTTGTGAAGACTTTTTATGTTTGCTGCATTAAAGGTGTAATGTAAAATGAACAAACATGTCGTGAGATATTTTATATCTTTAAACATTTTCATGGAATGTAATTAATGTATCATCATATTAAAGTTGC